CCTGAACTGCACAGCAAACTGAACTGTCTCAAAAAAAACAAGAAACAAAATCAATCCCCCCAAAAGAAAACCCATAGAAGTTTTGCCTCATGATTCCAGTTCTAACCATTTACTTTAAGGAAATAATTGGGGATATGTATAAGACACAGGAGAAAGTCTCTCACTGTCATATTATTTTTAACAGTGAAATCATAAAAGATTGTTCTCAGTAAGCTTTGGTTTATTTGCATGCATAAATCAAGAAACATTAAGACGTGCCATGGTCTGTGTTTAATGGAGGGGGCAAATGTTCCCTGCCCATGGTAAGTGGAAAATCCCATGGTGTATCCGCACGCTAGTGCGTGCAGCCGATTTCGACCTGGGTGTCAGCCAGGCTGGTAGCTGTGTGTGTGACAATGATTAACTCTCTATTTTGCAGTTTACTGTATTTTTAATTGTCACACAAAAGTAACTGCTACTGTAACCAAGAAGGAGAAAGGATATTTTTGAAAGGGAAAATAAAGTTTTCAAAGTGTTGAGGCCACTTAAAAATATTAACACATTGTTTTGTTTTGTTTTTGTTTGTTTGAGACAGGGTCTTGCTATGCAGTTCAGACTAGCTGTGAACACACCATGTAGCCCAGGCTGGCCTTGGACTCCTGCCTCAGCCTCCAGAGCACTGGGATTACAGGCATGCACCACCACACTGAGCCACCTAACACTTACTCTAGGGGCAAGTGAAAAGTACCATGATGTAGAGAACACATGGGTCCTGGGTCACGTGGTCACACCCTGTGAGCAGTAGGACCCAGGTGGGGGTTTTGGCCCATGAATCTTAAAGAATGCAGATAGGTCCTTTCAGCCAGAACCACCATCTTCCAGTAATTTGCCAAAATGACTATCACAAAGGGCAAGAGGAGTAGAACTTGGTATATGTTCTCCAGGCCTTTTATAAAATATAGGGTTGTTCCTTTGACCACATATATGCAAATCTACAAAAAGGGTGATAGTGTAGGCATCAAGGGAAGGGGTACTGTGCAAAAAGAAATGCCTCACAAATGTTACCGTGGCAGGGGCTGCGGAGATAGCTCAGTGGAATAAGTGCTTGCCTGGAAAGTGCAAGGTCCTAAGTTCGATCCCTGGTACCACCAAAAAAAAAAAGTTACCATGGCAAAATAGGAAGGGTCTACAGTGTTACCCAGCATGCTGTTAGCATTGTTGTAAACAGCAAGCTAAGGGCAAGATACTTGCCAAGAGGATTAATGTGCGTATCGAGCATATGAAACACTCAAAAAGTCGTGATAGCTTCCTGAAACGTGTCAAGGAAAATGATCAGAAAAAGAAGGAAGCCAAAGAGAAAGGTACCTGGGTTCAGCTGAAACGCCAGCCTGCCCCTCCCAGAGAAGCTCACTTTGTGAGGACCAATGGGAAGGAACCCGAGTTGTTGGACCCTCTTCCCTATGAATTCATGGCATAAGCTGGGGGTGTTGTTCTGCCATTCAGCACCCAATGGGCAGCTTAAGTGTTCTAAAAATAAAATCATCCTGTGTTGAAAGGGTGGTTTCCTTAGCTGAACAGGTACGTGGTGCCTTCTTACCTCAGAAATGTTTGCAGCAGATTTTCACTGTACCTAGTAATTGTGTCTAGTCTTTACTCTTCAGTGTTTTTCTTGCTGAAAGATATTGCTGAGGTATTGTGCAGGTGTTTACCCAAATACTCAAATATTTATAAAATATTTATATTGGCTTGATGATCCTGTAAATCACCATGGGGAAAAGATGTATCAAAATAAATGTAAGTCACTTCAGAAACAAATGTAAGTCCATTTCAGCTAAATGGTTTAAAGAAAAGAAAAGAAAAAAAAAAGACTGCAGGTGGCTGGAAGACTCCGATGTACGTTATGTAGGGCTGGAACCTGCACAAGGCTAAGGCTATTTAGAGTCGAGCAAGGCGCCAAGCAATTTTCTCCACCCAGAAAGTGCATCTGAGCAAGGAGGCGGGGCCTGTATCCCTGCAGAAAGGACGAGATGGGAGGAATGTGGAGGTTTCTGGTTCAAGCTTGTCCCACAGGCGCTGCTACTGTCCCTTCCCAAGAAGGCCAGGCCTGACCGCCACTGGGCCTTGGGAGAGCGAGCAGGCCGGCAAGCTCGTCTCCAGGGCCTGGCTTCATCAGGCATGTACCAGCTGCTGGACGTCACCCTGAATTCATTCTGGCAGGCACTGTGTAGACCCGCAGCAACTGTCAGGACGGTGTTCAGACACAAGGAGCTGAAGCTCTGTGGACGCGAGCTGCCCGAGGCAAGCTGGCTGGTGTCTCGGCCAGACTGACCCGTGTGGAGCCGAGCTCCTGTCCACCAGGCTCCATCCGCGGTGGGCACAGTGGGCGTGCAGGGCATGGAAGAGGAGCCTGCTGAGGCTGCCAAGCCTAAGGCGCAGGACTGAGCTGCTCTTTCAGGGGGTTTCTGCAGCACAGCCCTCTCCTGGGTGAACAGGGCGCACGGGAAGGAGCCTGACTTACAGACCATGTGACCAGAGCATTTCCCGCTCTGAGAAACGGGGGAAGGGTCCTGAGACCTTCATGAAGGGCATGGCTGGGGGCCTCCACCGCCTTGGTTCTGGTCAGACCCCACCGGGCCTGCCCTGCACCACAATGTGCTCTGTGGGGCCCGGTGGGCCCCTGCTGCCAGCCCCCTCGCCCCTGTTAGTTCCTGGTGCTGCTCTGGCCTTACACCCTCTCTGTTTTCCATCGCCTCTGGTGAATCTTAGCCCTGCCCCATGGCATGAGCCACTGGGGATTTGTTCCTATTTCTTCATCTTGGTTCCCACTCTCCAACCCAGACCTTTGTGTGTACTGCTCTGAATGCCCAGTGCCTGTCTGAGTTATCCACAAAGTTCTCGCCTCATCTTTTTAGTTTTTAATTTTTCATTATGCAATTCAGATTGGCCTCAAACTTGCATCAGTCCTCCTGCTGAGCCTCCCAAGTGCTGGGTTAGAGGCGTGTGCCACCATGCCTGGCCTCATCTCTATTTTTTGAAAAATCTTCCCTTTGAGCATTATTCTGCCTGCCCCAGGTCCCTTCCCTCCAGGAAGCCCTGTCCCAGGCTGAGTCAAGGCCGCCTGGTCTCTGTCGCTGGTGCCAACTCTGCATCTACCTCACTGAATGCTTCCTGTCCCACAGTGTGTGGTGGACACAGCCCTCCCTTGATGAAGGATGAGCCAGCAGGTGTCCCTTTTTTTCCTTGCCTGAGCACAGCATTGCATTTTGGCCTAGGTCTCAACGCTGTCCTGCTCCTCTGAGGCATGGATTTCAGCACGTTACTTTACAATATTGGGGAACAGCTGGACAGTGAGGAGCTGGCCTCCCTCAAGTTCCTGAGCCAGGACCACATCCCACAGCGCAAGCAGGAGCCCATCTTGGACCCCTGCATGTTGTTCCAGAGGCTGCAGGAGAAGCGGCTGCTGGAGGAAGGCAATCTGGCCTTCCTGAAGGAGCTGCTCTTCCAAATCAACAGGCTGGACCTGCTGGGCACTTACATGAGCACCAGCAGGGAGGACATGGAGGGGCTGCACCCGGGCGTGGCCCAGATCTCGCCCTACAGGTGAGTAGCAACTCTGAATGGGCCAGAGCCTGGGGCCTGGTGATTGGGTCGTGTGGATCGTGCCCACCAGGGCCACGTCAAGGAGCATAGGGGCCTTTTATATAATCCAGAGAAAAAGTGCTACAACCAAAGATGAAATTTGTTTTTCCAACTGAAACTTTATTTACCAGTATGCTGAAATTAAGTTTCTTTAGGTGCGCTCATCCCCTCCCCTGCCCGCTGCCCCTCTCTTCCAATGCCCCACCCATCCGCACCGCCTGAGGGTCAGCTGAAGCCCACAGCACTGTAGAAGCCATGGAGCGCTCACTCCGCGCTTAGAGCCTGAGAAGCCGTTGCTCCTGTGCAGGTGGCCCACAGGGCCCACGTAGATCCCCGTGGCTGCAGGCTGCCTCCCGAGAGCTCAGCTTCTTCTCACCCTAGCCCTGTGGCACCATGACACCATGGGCACTATAGGTTGTGCGAAGAGGGCCGTGACAGCTTACGTGGCCTGTGACAAACCTGTCACTTTTCTCTTTAATGTTCCATTTTCAGACTCTCTTTGAAGTGATCCTCAGTGTCATCTTTCAGGGGCTCTCAGCCCTGTAACGGTCACAGGGGCAATGTGGGGGCATGGCCACTGTCCTCCAACGCCCTGCCTGTGGTGCAGCCACAGAGAGACTGAGGCTGTGGCATGCCCTGTGTGTGTGGACTTCTGTGACAAGTGTTCTGGGATGTTGGTCTCCTAGGGGTGCTGAAACAGGGTTCCATACAATGGGTAGCTTAAAACATTGGAAAGTGTATTCTCCCGCAGTTCCAGGCCCAGGATTCAGAGCTGGGTGCCAGCGGGACCCCTGCAAGGCTCCGAGGGAGTTTCTGCACATGCTCGCTGCGGGCTGTGGGCCTTGGTGCTCTGGACCCATCCTCCAGCCCCAGCCTGCTCCTGCGTCTGACTGAATCCCCTCTTCCTGTGAGGCCCAGGTGCTGGCTTGGGACTCACCCTAATCCAGTGTGACAAGATGAAATTTTATCCGCAGAAACTCTTCTCGCTAATATATCAGGACTGCAGGTTGGGGGCAGGTTTGACTCCTTGTAGGAGCGAGGACCCCAGTAGCCAGACTCTGGAGAGCTTTGGGCCTTGGTTTCCTGGAAGTGTGAAGTCTTTATGAGGTGATTACTCATTAAGACACCATTCATTCTGAAAACAGTAGCACCAGAGCTAGGAGAGCCTGGGGCGGGGACTGTCATCTACACCTCCCTCTTGGCCAGCGTCCACCCTGCATGTGAGCTAGGCTGAGCAGGCTACTGTGCCTAGTCACATACCTTGGAAGCTGGGCCGGCCCGAGCAGGGCAGGAGACAAAAGAGTCAGCATGGGTCAGCTGTGGGGAGAAAGAGTCCCTTCTACACTGTCAGCGGGAATGTAAGCTAGTACCGTGGCCCTGAAGACTAGCATGAGGATCAGGAGACTACAGCTGGGCGCCCCACCTGGCCCAGCTGCTCCCCTCAGAGGCATCTTCCCAAAAGAGTGAAAGGAATCCCATCCCAGTGACTCGGGCAAGCCATGTTTGCCGCAGTGCAGCCCATCCAAGCTAAATCCTGGCAGTGGCCCACATGTCCATGCAAGGTGCTGGACAGAGAGTGTGGTATCCATGCACAACAGGAGCAGCTTGGGGCGCGTTCATCCCTGCGTGCAGGGCGAGCTCGAGGCGTGTGCAGGAAAATTGGTGCACCCCGGGATCACCATGTTGTGATACATCAGCCACACAAGCTTAAGTATTGCCTGGTGTCTCTCAGATGAGAAACCCAACGCATACATAAACTAAAGAGCAAAATAAAGGACACATAATAGGAAACAGACACAATCTTTTATAAATGATAAATGGACCAAAAGAGAGAGGAAGGGGAGGGAAGAGAGGACGTGAATGAAGCTGTCACGTTCACGCACCAGCTCTCCATGGGGAAGGCACATGCATGGCAAACATGAGCTAACAAAAACAAAAAATTTAAAAGTGTCAGCACAGTCACATCTACTGCTTGTTCACTGTGGTGGAATATTAGTCAGGTGACAAGAACATGCTAGTGTGTCCACTTAGTAGCATTTGGTTGGATTTAATTTTGTGCCAAATTGAGAAAGTTTTAGAGAAATATTCTATGATAGACATTTTTTGAGGAGGAAGATAAGGCGGAGGAGTATACTGAGTACCTTCTGTTTCTATTTTTACTTTCAGAATTTTTTCTTGAGAGAAGGTCTTGCTTTGTAGTTTAGGCTGACCTTGAACTTACTACGTAGCCCATGCTAGCCTTCACCTCATGAGGACTTTCCTGCCTCAGCCTCTTGGCAATTGTGACTACAAGGCTGTGCCACCATGGTTGGTCAGAATTTTAGTTTTTAAATTCAGTATTAAATTAAGCATGTTTTTGTATCAAAGTTATTTTCCTTTGTACCACAGCAGTAAAGGTTTGCTGACCTGTGAACCTTCACTTTGCTCACCTATTCAGTGAGCACATTCCAAGAGCCTCCACATGCAGGCGCAGGTCGGGAAGTAACGAAGCCTATGGCTCATTGAACACTTCGTCTACGTGAGCTCGGCCCGGTGCGGTCTTCAGGGTGTGGTCACAGCCCGCACTGCCTGTGGCACTGTGGCAGTCTTGGTTATTGTGTGAGAACACGTTCTGTCTGCAAAAGGAAGAAGTGCCTGAGCGACACATTCTCAGAATGCAGCTGTCTGTCACAGAAGTGTCTCTGTGGCGCGTGCAGCTCCTGCCTCTTCTGATGTAGCTATGAAATTATCTGTTACCAGATGAGGCAAAGTAGAGTCTGTCTAAGGGGACATAGTGCAGAGATGGCAGGACCGAAGTCTGGCACCCGGCACGGGTCCTCTGTGCTCCGACTCCTGTGTCACAGCCCTCAGGGCTCACAAAGGGAGGGCAGACCTGGGCTGGCTATTGGAGCCTGGACAGCTGTAGGAAACAGACAGCTAAGAAGGCACAGTGAGGGGTGGCCCAGGGACACTGAGGCAGAGGGCGGAAAGGGCAGCCAGTGTGCCAGGAGCCTCTGGATTTGGTGCCGGAGTCTGCAGCTGTGGCACTGGTGTTCGCTGTCTGTGGCCCTGAGCCCACGCCCAGCCTTCCTGGGGGTGACAGCTCGGGGCTCACTGAGTGGTGTTAGGGGGCCGATGACCTAGCTTGCACTGTGGAGAGCATAATTCCCAAAGTCAAAGTTTTTTTTTCTATTACTATAAATCTTGATTTTATAATAAAAAATAGAGGAAAAGTAAGATTCATTTAACTGAAAATAACTGACAGATGGTGTGGAATTTAAATTCAGGGTGGGTCAATTGGGCTGTGGACATTGGTGTCACCCTGACAGCCTCTTTCCAGGTTCCTGAGCCTATGACTGCTCTATAATTGGCTCTGCAGGGAAGGGAGGCCCCGGGACAGTGCCACTGTGCTTGGTGGATGGGGGATGGGAGACAATAAGCTTACCAGAGTCCTTCTCCACACAGGGTCCTGCTCCTTCGGATTGCAGAAGATGTAACCAAGACTGAGTTGGGGGATTTTAAATTTCTGTTAAAAAAGAAGATCTCCAAGTCTAAGCTGGAAGACAGCATGGTAAGGCCCTACATCGCTTGAGATCAGTCCATGGAGGGGCAGAGCTGCAGGCCCAGGCCCTCATGAAGGGTGGAGTGAACAGCAGCAGGAGCAGGTGACAGTGGCTCCTGTGGGACTTGGGCAGCAAGGGTGCTTTCTCACCAAAGTGCCTGCGACAGCCCAATGTGTGTGTGTGTGTGTGTGTGTGTGTGTGTGTGTCTTTGTGTCGTATTGTGTGGTTTGTCTCCGCTATGGTGTTGTGCTGTCTTGTGCATAGGCACAGATATGCTGTGTGCATGGTGTGCGTGTCTACCAGAGACCCAGTCCACAGTGCCCATTGTCAGGGAGCCCTGCAGGGAGCCCCCGATCTACCCAGAGTTACAGCACATGGTGGGAAAGAAAGTGAGAGACAAGAACTGCAAGAAAATAGTCTCTGGTTATGGGGCCAAAGAGGAAAGTGATTGATGACGTAGAGTGTGCCTAAGGAGAGTCACATGAGGAGAAGACACTCTCTCAGGCTTTCACAGAGAGCACATTGGCCAAGCAATGGCCGTGACTCATCCACATGGCTGCACTGATGAAGGTTCTACAATCTGAGGTACAGGATCTCAGGACAAATCCTGAGGGCATTTCACTGACCTTCTCAGACCAAAAAGCTACAACTCTTGTTGCATAGGTCCTGCTTTACCTTGGTCTTAACCATCCAGTAGAAAAGTATGAAGTCGAAATATAAGAAATAAAGCCATGCTGTTAAGTTGAGCTGTGGGGGACTCAGGTCAATAATTTCTGACATTGCCAGTTAAATATAAGACCCAATGCTATTATAGGCTACTGGACTCTTTTAGAATATTTTGCTGAGTTTACACACCTATAATATTCAATAACGGAACTTAGAAAAAATGGGGTACACCGATGAATGTCCATTTTGTATCTGTGTATTCAAAGAGGTTGGGATAGATATATAGTTGCATTCTCTTAATGAATAGAATGATTTGTTCTAATGGTGTTTGTAAATAGGATCACAAGTCTGCATCTTGTACAGCAATTAACCACTAAGAAGAATATATGCAGTGTTTTATTTGTTGAAACTGTCCTTCCAATATGATTTGAAACTGTCTCATTGCTATCTGTTTGTCAATAAAACTTTGAAAAAAAAATAAAATATAATGATTGATTTGGAAAAAAAAATAGTCTCTGGAACCATCAGTGTTCTTTGGGAACAAGGACACAGAGTCCCTGCCAGCCACCACCCTTGTCCCGTGCAGGGGGAAGGTAGTCCTTTTCCTGGAACACTGGGGAAGCAGAGGTTGCAGGGGGAGTTTCAGCAAGTTGGAGAGGAAGCAAGTTGAGATTCGCCCTATACCTGGGTGCTGGTTTCTGTGTACTGTCCTGGCAGACTTCGTCCTGCTCTGTGAGCCTCATTGACAGGAGGGAGAGGGATTTCCACATCCCAGAGTCAGCCCAACTTTCAGGAAAGGAAGCCCTCCAGCAGGTTCTATGTCAATTTATAAACTGTGGGGCCCAACAGGTATCTGCTCCAGTGTGTGTCTCTGTGTCAGTGTTTCTGTGTGTGAGTGTCCACGGGTTGCGTGTGTGAGTGCATTCAGGTCTGGAGGTGGGTTGGGGTCAGATTGTGCCGGGGCGTAGGGCAGTCTCCACAGAGTGGTGACTCAGCTGCGCTCTTGGGTCAGTTCTTGTGCGGCGCGCCTATAGACAGTGCTGAGAATGGGTGATACAGGGCTGAACCCCCCACCCTGCTAGGTGTCTGAAATGCTGAGTTCGTGTTCTCTAAAATTGAGGAATGAATTCTAGGAACAATGGAGGGTAAGAGTGGGAAGTATTTGTTGAGAGAAAGCAAGCTTCTGTCTAAGGACAGAAAAGAGCCTGGAACGTGGGTTACCTACCAACCTGATTCTCAAGTGTGTTTATTGAGCAAAGCCACGAGGTGCAGAGGCCTTAAGGTGGACAAAACTATTACCAATCAGTAAGATCACGCTTGGGTAATGCTGAGCCAGTGGCGAATCATAGGATGGCTGGGAGGTGCGACAAAACCACGGTCATCCAACAAGGGTACAACAAGTAGGGCCTCTACGTTAATGTTAAGTGAGGAAGCAAGTCAAGTAGCCTGTGCATGTGGGGCACCGAGGACTTTGTTGGGAGGGCTGGGCCAGGAGGTTTGGTCCTCCATCGTGAGATGATTATTCCCTATGTGGAAGATCAATCCCTGCTGTTCTGGGGGAGGCCTGTGCTATAGTCGTCCTCTTTTCTTGAAGCCTAGCCTTCATCAAATGCTGCACTGACCTCTCGGGTCCAGCCCTGTCTGGCCACCCACAATATCTCTACCTAATGTAGCTGTCTATAACATGGGGGCTGGCTCGGTGACAGCTGGCGTGGCCTCAAGAAGGGGATGGGCCGCAGTCTCTTGGGAAGAGCAGTTTTGGGGAGGAAGAGTAGATGTGGCCCGGCCCAGGCTTCCCACTGCTTCTCCTCCCCAGAGCTTGCTGGATATCTTCATAGAGATGGAGAAGAGGACCATCCTTGGGAAGGACCACTTGGACGTCCTGAAAGAGATCTGTGGACAGGTCAACAGGAGCCTGCTGACGAAGATCAGGGAGTACGAGAAGCTACATGGAGGTGGGAAGTGTGGCAGAGGGGCGGCTGGAGCCGTGGAAGGGGCTTGCTGTTCTCATGTGCTGGGCTGTTTTTCTCTTTTTAATTCAGAGAGAAGAATGAGGCTTGGACAAAATCCAGATGAGTTTTTAAAGGGTAATGCTGGCTTCCCAGGATGCAGTCTCCCTCACCCTGCTTCCCTCCCAGCCCCTCCTGATTCCCGGCTGTGGCCCATTGCAGGACCAGAGTCGCTGGTGACTTGTGGTCCTCCTCCTCCAGACGGGGAGCAAGGCAGCTGAGCCAAGCCCCTACCCTGGGCAGGCGCCCCCGAGAGGAGTGCAGAGCTGGCCTGTCCAGTCCCCCTCTCGCAGCTTCTTCCGCTCCTTGGACTTGTGCTTTTGCATTCAAATAATTTTTCAGAACTTCCATGATTAAGTCACTTTCTCTCAGGGAAAGAATCTGTCCAAAGGGAAGGAACAACTGGGATGAGGAAAAGGGTAAAAAGAAAGGAAGAGATGAATCTATAACTGTGTATCTACACAGGATAGCTTGGGTAATTGTACTGCTGATTTCTGCTGGTCTTTTGAAAAGAGCAGCTAGTACTTAATTTTTTTATTTTCCTTTTTCTTATAACTTTTAAAACCAATTTTGCATGCTCATATCTGGTAACCTAAACAACTAATCTGAAGACAGTATTATGAACTATAGGGGTCGGGGAGATGGCTCAGTAGAATAAGCGCTTCCCTGGCAAACGCAAGGGACTGAGCTCAATACCCAGTTCCCGCCAATAGAGAATGAAATATAACAACCATTGTTGAATTCTATTATTTTAATTAGTGAAATTATGTATTATTTTTCGTTCTTTTTTTTTTTTTTTGTGGAACCGGGGATTGAACTCAGGCCCTTGCGCTTACCAGGGAAGCGCTTATTCCACCGAGCCATCTCCCCGGCCCCTTATTTTTCATTTTTATTATTTATTCTCCTTAAAAAAGAAAGAAATCATTTTCTCTTCTCGCTGCCAGAGCTGCTTGGCCAAGTATGAGCCGTCCCACTCTCCCTGCCAAGTCCAGGCCCTGCCTGCCCCAGCCCTTGGATGCTGTAACCAAGCGACGGACTCCTCTTATTCCAGAGAGGAGCTGGCCAGTCCCTGTCCCTGTCCCTGTCCCTCACATGGAAGGAGGTCTGCAAACCTTTGATTAATTACATCTTATTTTGATTATAAAATTATACACATGAGAATAACTACAAATTCAAAGGAAAATTTAGAATTCTAGTAATGTCATCACCTCGTAAATATTACTGTTGTCAGTGTGTGCCATGTTTCCACCTGGCTCCTCATGTGTGTGATTCCTCCGGATCAACAAAGATCAGCCCTTAGTGATGTCCCTGCAGCCAGCTCTTCTTCACCATGTGCCTGCTGGAGCGAGACTTGAAGGGCACTTTTGGCGCTTCTGAAGCAGTCATTCATTCTGTACTAATGAGTATCTCACACAATGTCAATAGTCTCGACTTGGTGACCTGGAAGAATATAAAATTATGCCCCTTTTCGCCCTGGTTTTCCTGACAGTGTTGACATAGTTTGTGCCTTGGTCTCCAGGAAGTCCTGAGTGGAGCCACCTGCTGGCATCAGTGGGCTGGAGGGAGCCGGCCCAAAGGCTGGGAACTCCGGTGGTGGGTGCCACACTTCCTGGCCACAGTACTTGCGCTACTCGGGGCTTCACTGTCGCTCTCTTCTTGCTTGTAGAGGAGTCGCCCCTTGAGATGCAGGACACGACAGGCTTTCCAGAAGGGCAGGATGGCCAGTCACAGGTACGAGCGCTCCCAGGCCTGCTGCCTTGCGCAGTGCAGACTCTGCTTCTTGTGTTAGATTTTTCTTCGTTTAGCTTCTAGAGAAGCCCATAAAGGGCAGAAATTTACTAGAAATTTTTAGAACCGTAGAAAAAAATCTACAAAAGGGCAAGTTAAAAAGGTGACTCTTCAGGCTTCTGTGTGTTACATTTTTTTTTGAAGCCACAGACAGGGAGGACCTCAGGGTTAGCAAAGCCTTCTGCTTGATGTGGAGTCAGGGAGTGCAAGATCCAGGGGACCCCTGAATGCGGCTCGAGAGGGCATTTATTGCTGTGGGGGCCTGAGAAATCGCCAGGACTTCCCTTCTCAAGTTCAGGGCTAACGGAGTGATACAGCACTCTGAGGCCACATACTGCTGCCCTGTTAGCGCTGCCCCTCCCACCAGTGAAAGGCGAGTCTTTTTTTTTTGAGACGGGATTTCACTATGCAGTTCAGGTTGGCCTTGAACTCACTTTCTGAAGTGATCCTCCTGCCTCAGCCTCCTGCAGGCTGGGATAATAGGCATGTGCCACCACACATGGCCTAGAACTAGTCTCAGTGTCTGGACCACCCTATTTTACAGTAACCTGGTAAATACACTTTTGAGTAGCAGTAAAGAGTAGATACTCTCTCAGCATTTCATGGAGTACTTGGTGCTAAGCCTACTGAGATATGAAGATTAGGTCAGCTGTCCAGAGTCTTCAGGCCAGGAAGACCCAGAGCCAGGAACCTGGTGTCTGCCCGAGAGTCTTTCTCCCCCTCACAGGCTGCACAGACTTCAGCCAAGTGCTGAGATCCCTGCAGTGTAGCAGCCCTAGGACAACCAGCAGGACACCTCCCATCGGGTCCTGCAGTCTCATCCCGTGGCCCCGCCGTGGGCCTGAGACTATGCCTGAGCCCTCATCTGCCTCCAAGCTCCAATGCAAGTGAGGGACCCGGCCTGGGTGTGATGACGACACACTGCTGACATGCTGAGAGGGGCGCGCCGGCCGGCCCTGGGCCAACACCTCTCTCTGTAGTTCAGGCCAAGCCCAGCCCCTTCCAGGGAGGTTTCTGAGCACACCTCTGGGCTGCACCTGCCCAGTAAGCTCCTGACTTGGGTTTTTTGTTTTGCAGACATCAGACAAAGCTTACCAAATGAAAAGCAAGCCTCGGGGGTACTGTCTGATCTTCAATAATTATGATTTTAGTGAAGCACGAAAGAATATACCCAAATTTGACAAGCTAAAGGACAGGAAAGGAACAGAGGTCGATGCAGGTATGGTAGAGCCAAGAGAAGTGAGCTTTTTCTTACAACTATTTTATCAAAAGGGGGAGAAAAAAAGCTGTATCAAAAGGGTACATGTTTTAAGAAAATAGATTGGAACATATTTCCTTGAGGTGCAGAGCATTCTTACGAATGTTAGTGTTCTGCTTTTGTTTCAAGTTAATTTTTATTCAAAACAATGTGGTAATAAAATGCCAAAACTTACTAAAAGGCTTATAATGAAGAGCAGCAGTAAGCTTTAATTTTAATCAACTACAGACACAGTGCCCCGCAGAGCACATGGAGAGGCGAACCTTGCTGTCAGGCTGGGTGCCACGTGACTGGCGTGGCAGGGTGGCAGGTGGCTTTTGGGAAGTTGTGATACTGTGTCAAACAGGTTGTGAGCTCTTAACAAAAATAGCATTTCAAATGTCCAACTATCCAGAATTTTTTTTTTTTTTTGGTACAAGAAATTGAACTCACAACTTCGTGCTTGCCAGGAAGGTGCTATGCCACTGAGCTATACTCTGGCCTCCAGAAATTCTTTTATTCAGCCTACTTAAACTAAGACTGAAAATTACAGATTAAATGAAAAAATAATTTTGGTATGGGAATATAAAAACGACTGCAACTCAGTAATAACAGAAATCATCCAGCCTAGCCTTTGAGGGTTAACAATTTTGATTTGGTCAAAGAACTTCTGCAAACGGTATTTAAAGAATTGAATGAAGGCTGGCCAAACAGCTGAGCAGATTAAAGTGCCTGAGAGCAGGCACAGGGCCTGGGGGTTCGATCCCCGGGCCTGCCGTGCCAGCCCCGCCCCTGGGGCGTGCTGGGTTGGCAATTGAGACTGGGCGTGGTGGCGTCCATGCCTGTAATCCCAGCTCATGGGAAGCTGTAAACAGGCAGATCACTATGAGTCCAACCCAGTAGTGAGACCCTGAACACCCTGTAGACCCTTCCTTAAAAGAAAACAAAAACAAAGGAAAAATAAAAAGAATGATGTTTAAGAATCAACAAGGGGCCAGGAAGATGGCTCAGTGGAATAAGTGCTTCCCTGGCAAGTGCAAGGGTCTGAGTTCAATTCCTGTTTCCACCAAAAAATAAAAAATAAAAAAAATATTAAAAATAAACAAAAACCAATTATAACCATCAGGCCACTGTGATGCTCCCTGCACCACTTGATCTGTTTATCTTTATTTATTTAGTTTTGGTACTGGGGATCAAACTCAGGACTTTGTATTGCCAAGCAGGTGCTTTTGCTGCTGAGCTATATCCCTGGCCTCTGATTTATTTAAGCAAATCCAGCCTAAGATTTTAGCCACAGAATTTAAGGCCTTTGACGCAGAACTTGTTACCATGCACTTGGTGTTGAAAAAAGTGTTTTCAGGCCTTTTATCCCTATTCATTTAATAGTTTGAAATTTCCAGGAAATTGATTTGATTTCTGGAGGCTGCTCTTCTCACTTTGGGCCCATGACGAGAGTCTGCTCCGCCTGACACCGGCTGAGCTGCTGGGCACATAGTGGAGCCCTTGCTTCATCCCATGCCCTAGAACTGTCCCCAGAACTGCAGCACAGCATTAGTGTCCCTAGAGTTCTTCTAAACCCACAAGGGTTCTTTGCATTTCAAAGTAAAAATGAGTCAGACAAGCAGCCTGAAAGAGTAGAGACGTGGACCAGGTTGACTCGTGCATCTGGAGAGAAAGCAGGTAAGTAAAGCAGAGTTAAAGGGCAGTTTGAGTTCAGTAAGAAAGGAAACACAAAGGACACATTGCTAACATAGGTCTAGTAATATATTATCCTGGATTCAACTTACAATTGTAAATAATGGTGCAAAAGTGGTAAACACTAATCCCCTAACTACTCTAGCTGAACTTATAGATGAGTAAGTAACCGTGTACCCAGATTTGCTACAAAATGAAGGCCAAGAAGAAAGCCATTAAGCCAAGAGTGGTTGTTTTTATAGGATGTGCTGAATAAGAGAGGTAGAGAGAGGATAGTTTTTCTAGTAACTCTTTCATTCATTTTTATTATCTTTTATTTTGATAAATACAATTGGGGAAGTTTCAGCATAAATATAGATATTGTATTCAAAATTATATTTGTTCCTTTCAGTTATGTAAGAAATAATCATCTCTTGCATTTGCTGGATCGTGAAGCTAAATGATAGCTTACGTGTCTTGTAGGAAGTTGGGACAAGGCAGCAGGCCAGCAAGAGCCCGCTGTCCTTTCCATTTGAATCACAGCTTGAGAATGTTTCAGCTGGTGACAATAAATACAGATGCATGTAGAGCCAGCTTCTAAAATAGAGCACGTCACCCTTGCAGCTCTGGCGCACCTGCTCCCCCACCTGTGTAGTCTTGTTTTCTCCAGCTTTCCACTGTGGGGTTGGGATGCTCTTTCCTGATCTCCTTCACTTTTCAGAGACTTTGGATGGAACTTTCACGGACCTTCATTTCGAGACGGTGCCTTACTGGAATCTCACAGCACAGGAGATCTGCAACAAGCTGCAGTACTACCAACGTGCAGACCACAGCAAGAGGGACTGCTTCATCTGCTGTGTCCTTTCCCATGGGGGCAGGGGCGTCATCTATGGCACAGATGGGCAGGAGGTGCCCATCTCTGAGCTGACCTCTTACTTCACTGGTTCCAAGTGCCCTTCCCTTGCTGGAAAACCTAAAGTGTTTTTCATTCAGGCTTGTCAAGGGGAGAACTACCAGAAAGCTATACCTGTGGAGACTGACTCAGATGAGAGCAAATCCTATCTAGAAGAGGATGTTTCTTGTGCAGCAGCAACCATCCCGGATGAGGGTGACTTCCTGCTGGGGATGGCCACTGTGGACAGCTATGTTTCCTACCGAGACTCCAGCAAGGGAAGCTGGTATATCCAGACTCTGTGTGAGAGCCTGCGAAGGAGGTGCCCTCAGTGAGTGCAGCCTCCCACCTCTCCTCTGGTCCGGTCCCATCCCCTCTCCAACGCTTCCATTCAGAGCGCCCTGGAAAGGGCTCTTGGGCTGAGGTGGTTTATTGATCAGAGCTGGCCACGGGCCATGGCTGCCACTTATCTCGGTGTCCAGTTGTGGCCCACACAGCGGCACTTCCCAGGTTGGGGTGAGGTGGGGGGCATGGTGAGTGTTAGTGGGTTTAGGCACAGATGGAAAGCAGACAAGCCTGAGGGACTTCCCATACATAGCCTCTGAGGACAGCAGGGCCTCTCAGAGCTGGGCAGGATGTGCCCGCAGGAGCCTGGCTTGCGGCCTCCAGGGAAGGCGCTGATCTCTGGGAAGGCAGGAGCCCGAGTGAATGCTTTAGTGTACTGCACTCTGTCAGTTGCCCTGTAGCCTGCCAACTTCAAACTCTCTTGGTGCCTTGTAGCAAAGAGTAAGAACCTGGCACACCTCCCTACGTGGACCTGCTTTGAAGACACAGAGCATGGGAAATGTCCTGCCCTCATTTACTGACCATGGGCTTCCATCGTTAAATTACGGCTTAAATGTCACAGCCCACCCGCTGGCACATGCAGCCAGCAGATAAGTGGCAGGAGTCCTCCTGGCAGGTCCCTTGTGGCTAGCTAGATTTCTTCTTATGTCCTGGGTGTGTGAACAGGGGGAATTTCCACAGCTTATACAAAGTGAACCACAACAGGATCGTGATGTTTGCACCTTGTAACCCAGGCATAGGTCCTGGGTTAGCTTGTACAGAGGATGTGATTCCTGGCAAAGCTGCCTGAGGGGCGTCGCTGAGGGGTGGAGGTGGCTGCAGGATATACGTGGCCTTCACTGCTTGGAGTTTGCGCTGCACACACGTGCAGAGCAGTGTCTATTTCACGCAGAGGGTGTCGGGGGCGAGAGGTGCTGGAGGGGGCTGAGGACATGGCAGATGGGGAAGAGGGAGGCCACAGGCTGGGAAGGGGCAAACCAGATCTGACACCAGCACTGTGGCCTCTGATGGCCAGGAGAGGTCCTGAGCAAACCAAAGGCAAGTTGGCCTTGGTTGGGCCACCATGGCTTTAAGTGCCAGGGGCTCTGTGGGGCGCACGCGGCAGAGGATGGAGCTGGGCAGTTCTCCTCGCCTGGACGGTCACAGGGTTACACTCTGTTTTGCAGCGGTGATGACATTCTCACCATCCTGACGGAAGTGAACTTCAATGTGGGCAGAAAGATTGACCAGAGGAACATGGGAAAACAGATGCCCCAGCCTATCTTCTCACTAAGGAAAAAGCTGTTCTTCCCCACTGACTGACGCCATGGACTAGCTGCCGAACACTAGGCTCCACTGAGGACCAAGTCCGTGCTGTGTGCGCTGTCACTGATGTGCGAGAGGAGGATGGCAGTCTCGAGCTTTGATGAGGTGAAGACTCAGACAGCACGCCAACTCCTCCAGAACACTACTTTTTCTCTGCTTTGCTGGGCGTTGAACCAGAGCCTCCCGCATGCCAAGTGAACCCCACTACACTGCTGTTATGTAATTTGGAAGTGTGGAGCTCAAAGGCATTGATTCTTTTCATAAAAGCTTTAAAATCCCAAGCTGTTTCCTAGATAACACTGTCTCAGCCTGCTGCTCTGCAGCTGCAGGGCTGGTTTTGCTGCTCCTGGGTGAACTTTTGTTTGCTTTCTATCCGAGCCTCCCACAGGCTTCTGCTAAGAGCTTTTCAGACAAATAGAATAAAACTGCATTTTCCTGTTTCTCAGAGATTCTTCTGTCTGATTTTCTTTTCCAGTGCATTTCACAAATGGAAAACATTCAGGTCCCCAACCTATTCTACGTTAGCCACCCAACACTGACTTCCACCGTTATGTTTTTAGCATTTGTTGTGAACACTCAAAAAGTGCAAAGATATATTAAAACAAGAATATCTTCTTCTAAAAAATCAGAATGCTGGCAACAGTGGCCCCATGCAGACAAGGGGCGACTGGTCTGGGACCCTCCTCCAGACCTTTCTCCCCCCCTCCAGGCTGCCTTGGTGGCCCCAGCACATTGGGTCAGGTGACTGTTTTCCCTCGCTGTGGGCTCTGGGGTTCTGACGATGGCTTACAGGGCAGCATCTAAGGACAGCACAGGTGTGCAGGAAGAGCTCCAGGATAAAATTAACCTATTATCTGTCTTGTTAGCTAAATGCCCAGGAGGACAAAATTTATAACCTGAGACAAGGTCAGCCTTAAGGAGGAAGAAGCCTTTCAAATGACTATAGTTCCTTTTTCATCAAATATGCGAAACTGGAAGAAAAATAGTACCCACACAAGAGAGCTTCTAGCACAGAGAACATCTGTTCCCCAAGAGTCAACAGAAGGCATGCAACTGAGTATTCTAATATTCACAACTTCTTGGAAGAAAGCCAACTATGACAAAAACTGAGCCACCCAAGAACTCCATAATTGTGAGCTTTTCTCCAGAAAGTGTCCCAGGTTGTTGCCGGCCTGCAGGGCTGGCTCCCCACCCTCTGAGGTGTGGAGAACAAACTTTTGTTTATGATTCTCTTTGCTTGCTGCTGTCTTCTAACAGGCCCAAGTCACACTCACAAAGCGTAATGGAGGTGAACTTCTCAGGCTGTCTTTCATAAATCTCTTCATTCTGGGCAGTTACCTTTTGCCTGCGAACAGAGCAGAAAGATGCATCACGCAGACCCAGGAAAGGGGCGCGGGGAGGGGAAGTGTGCCTGCCCGCCCACCCTCACTCTCTCCCCCTTCCTTCCTGAGAGTGTCATGCTCATTTATTTCTTGCAAGGGTTTCAAATTTCATGGTATCAGCAGTTGGATGACCAAACTCCCATCTGAGGAACTTTCTTTTTAGAAAGCAAGCGTCTGCATTAGTGAATGTTAGTTACACAGAGAATGGATTTTTCTTCGTAGATTAGGACACGTATGTGATGTGTTTCGGTTCTCGCCACCCCTGCAGCTCCCTCATCTGTGCGTCCCCTTGCACCTCGTTTCCTTCCCCACTGCTGGTCACCCTTCTCGAAAATGTAATGGAAAACACTCTGTGTCACACCACTGGTTCTCCTTGCATACCTGGGCTTCCTCCTCTTCAGTAAAGCCATTTTTGATATTAAAAGTCTTGAGAATCTCCTCAAGAGTTTTCCCCTTGATCATATTGGCAACAGTCTTGCATGTAACATCAAGCAAGCCTTTGATGTCTAGGTAGTTGCTGTCAGGATAAGTTCAAAAAGGGTTCCTTGGTCAACTTGCAGGAATTCTTGGTCCCAAACAGAGATGTCATCTGTTCTCTTTTCTTGTTCTCATCATCCTCAGGAGGAAGAGGGTCCTCCTTGTGGTGGGCACACCACTGAATGACCTTTTTAATACTGCTGCATTAACGTTTGGTAGAGGAACTGGGTCATCATCTCCTTCATCATCCATCCCCAGCTCTTCCAACATGGTCTTGATTGTCACAGACTCTTTGGCAATTTCAACATCAACTTCAAATATCTCCATCAGAACTCTACAACTTAATTGAAGGCATGGTATTTGGTCTCTAAAAGACTGTGGGCCTGAGGCAGACGAGAGCAGGAAGATGTTCCCACCAGTTGGAGGATGGTGACGGCAAACGAAGCCACTCTAATATAGTTCTTTTTTTTTCTGGTGGAACCGGGGATTGAACCCAGGCTCTTGCGCTTGCCAGGCAAGCCCTTGTTTTACTGAGCCATCTCCCAGGCCCCACTAAGCTATCTCCCTGGCCCTCCATCCATGTTTTGCAAATGACATCATTTTATTCTTTTCTTTTGCATTTAATATGATTGTTCTTATAATTTTCCTTTATATGTATATGCATATATATATATAATTTATTTATTTTTGTATTTTAGGGGAGGGCCTCCAGGGTGTTCAGGGTCTCACTACTAGATCAGACTCGTAGTGATCTGCCTGGTTACAGCCTCCCAGGAGCTGGGATTATAGGTGCGCTCCACTATGCCCCATTTTAGCATGCCCCGAGGGTGGGGTGGGCACAGGCCAGGGGATTGAACTCTGGCCCCTGAGCCTGCTTGCAGGCACTTTAATCCATTCAGCTATTTGGCCTGCCCTTCCTTTTATTATTAGTGGCCATTAATTTTACAAAATATTGGGTTTTGGTGAATTTCCCCACCATACTCCCTCACTCTGCTCCCTTCCTACCTTCCTCTTGTCTATTAACAGTCCCTCTTATGCTTTCATTCATCCTTCTTAGATTCCACATGTTAGGGGAAGCATGCAGCATTTGTCTGAGGATGGCTTATTTTGCTCAACATGAAAGGCTGTGGGTTCATCCATTCCTTCAAAATGTCCAAGTTTCATTCTTCTTTATGGCTGAATAATACTCCATTGTGTATGTATACATTTTCCCTATCCATTCATCCGTTTGTGGCTATCACGGGCATTTACTACAGACTGGGCCTCAATAAACAGTGCAACCAGGAAGCTTTGCCTGTGTCTATGCCCCGAATGCTGTCCCTGTATTTCATTTTGGCAGTTTCATAGTCTCAAGTCTAGGTCTTTAACCATTTTAATTGATTTTGGTACAGGGTGAGAGACAGGGATCTAATCTTAATCTTCTATATATGGGTATCCAGTTTTCCAGAAATATTAAGGAGGCTGTCTATTTTCAGCACATATTTTTGGTACCTTTGAGCAAAACAGATGGCTGTAGTTTCAAGGCTGTGGTGCTGTGTTGTCTACCTTGCTCCCTTGGTCTAGGATCTGTTTTGTACCAATACCATCCAGTTTTTGTTATGCTGGCTTTGTAGCATCTTTTTTTAAGGCAGGGTCTCACTATGCAGCCCAGGCTGGCCTCAAACTCAACAGTGATCCTCCTGCATCAGCCTCTGAGTGCTGGTGTGTGCCACCAGGCCCAGCTATAATTTGACATTGGATATTGTGTCCAGCCTTGTTCTTTACTGTTTTGGGGTGTGTGTGTGTGTGTGTGTGTGTGTGTGTGTGTGTGTGTGTGTGTGTGAAGAATGTCATTGATATTTTGATGGGGCTTACATTTATTTTCCTTTCTTTCTTTTTTTCTTTCTTTCTTTGTTCTTTGTTCTTTTTCTTTTTTTGTAGTACTGGAGATTGAACTCAGGCCCTTGTGTTTGCCAGGCAAGCGCTTATTCTACTGAGCCATCTCCCTTGCCCCATGGGCTTGCATTTCAGTGGACTGTGTGGATCACTTTTGGTATTGTGCCATTTTAACAATATTAATTCTTATAATGCACAAACTGAGCCAGAGTAAATATGGGTATGCAGGTGTCTCTACAGTATTCTGACTTTAATTCTTTTGAGAGTATTCCAAAGAGTGGAGTAGCTGAATGAAATGACATCTCTACTTTTAGTTTTACGAAGAAACTCAGTGCTGATTTACACAGTGACTATGACTTTACGCTTGCCCATGAGGAATTTTCCTCTGAGTCAATTCAATGAATATGCTTCCTTTAGCAAAGTATTGCCCCCAGTTTTCTGGACAATTTCAGATGTATCTCCAGGCAGCAGTACATCTGAAGTTGATTTCTCATAGCAGCCAGAAGCAGGTGCATCTAAGAGTAAATCACTAACATGAAAACTACCAAACCCAAAACAAAGAAAACTGCCAAACCCTCAGGAAAGACAGACCTAAACAAACTCAGACACAGAATTGAGTAATCTCAAGAACTACAGACCAACTTCCTGTGTTGTTTTGGCTGTTTTTCAGACAGTTTCACTGCATTTCAGGCAGGCCTTAAACTCACTATGTAGCCCGGCGGCCTGTGACTTGCGGGGATCCTCCTGCCTCTGCCTCCCTAGTGCTGAGGTTACAGACGCCTGCCACCACTCCTGGGCTCCGGTGTCATTTTGAAAAAAAGAACAGCAGCGCAAGCAAGGGAGCCCAGGCCGTCCGCCCTCCCGCTGTGAGCTGCAGCCCAAGTGAAGGGTGCGACCTAGCCTCAAACTCATGTCTGGCTCCGAGTGACCAACTCCCCAGAGAGCACCTGGTTTTTCTTCTGAGCCCGTTCCTCAGGCAAGTGCCCTCCCACTCCCTGACAGCCAGCCATCCGGCGGCAGCACCAGCACCTTAGGCGGTTGTTTTCTTCTGTGAGATTCTGTATGGTGCTCTTGTACTTCTCTTCAACTTCAGCAAGCTTGTTCTGCAGTATTTTCTCTAGGTTTCCTGCTGCAGCTTTCTGAAAGACAAACAGTTTGGTGGCTGCCCCCCCCCCCAAGACACCCAGTGAGCGCAGTGAGGAGACAGCACAGAAGTACACTCGCAGCCCCCAGCCACCTCACCTCTTTCTGGAGTTCCATCTGGGTGTGGTGGAGGTTTGTGTTGAGTGACTCCAGAATGAGAGCTTGTGCATGCAACTCTTCCTCTATGATCTGCACAGAAGAAAGTTTCAGGACATTATGCAGTGATCAGCCTGTTTATTCCCATCTCCGGGACGCCTGGACAGCAACGCTGCGCACCAGCATAGCGCCGCCTCCTATGGCTCCTCCTCAAGCACAGCTGCCCTGCCTTCTCTGTTCTGTCACCTGTGCCTCTCCTCTGGCTCCATCACCGCTGCAGAGCCTTTCACTTCAGAGCACTGTGGATGTCGACTGGCTGTCCTTCACTAAAGCATCCTTCCTAAATGCCTACTACTGATTCCAACTATTTGACACCCCAGAAAAGGCAGAATTCCCGGGACTGATGCATAAATACATACATGCACACATACAAAGCAGTTTTCAGGGTTTGGGAGAGAAGTGAGGCAGGATGAGGTAAATGGAACACTTTCAGGGCAGTGGGACTCTCCTGGGACACGGAATAGTGGGTGAGATAGCACTGTAGGCAAAGCCCAATGGTCCCAGTGCACAACTGTGAAAATGAGTGCAAACTGTAGTCAGTGATAATGCATCAGTATTTGCTGCCAACTGTACTAATGTGAATATGTCACTCTATGGAGTCATATAATGTAATCCTTTTTTAAATGTATTTGGTACAGGGTCTCACTACAAAGCTCGAACTTGTCGTGATCCTCCTGTGCTCAGCCTCCCCAGTGCTGGGATTACAGGCAGGTACCGCCATGCCCAGATGCCCAGTCTCTGTGGCTGGCTCAGTGTGCCTGGGGGTGGGGCTGGTGGGGTGTGTGATGCCGGGGACCAAACTCCTGTCCCTGTGCTTGCTTAGGCAGGTGCTTATGCCACTGAGCTATCTTGCTGGCCCTTGATATAATATAATTCTAATGCAAGCTATTACTAATGGGAAAACTATAGGGACAGGTGACAGCGTGGGGAGTGATGGGGGAACTGTTTATACTTTCTGCCCTAATTTTTCTGTAAATTTCAAACTGCTCTAAAATAATCAATTAAGCAAACAAAATGCCACTGAAGAATGAGCAGAAGCCATGCACAGAGGCGCTACTCCTCTTGCTATTCAGGAGGCTCATGCAGGAGAATTGCAAGTTTGAGCCTCACTCGGGCAACTTTGGGAGACCCTGCCTCAAAATAAAAAGAGTTGGGGACATAGCCCAGTGGTAAAGTGTTTGCCTAGTATGTAAGAGGTTCTGGGTTTAATCCTCAGTGAAAGAAGGAGGAGGAGGAGGAGGAAAGGAGGGAAGGAAGAAAGAAAAAAGAGAAAAATAGGAGGAGGAGACAGGAGAAAACAAACATTTAAGAATCCTTCAGCAGAGCTTGGCATGGTGGTGCAAGCCTATAATCCCAGCACTCTGGAAGTTGAGTTAGGAGGATAGCCATGAGTTCGAGGCTAGCCTAAACTACATAGTAAGACTCTGTCTAAAAAAGAAAATCCTTCAGGAACACTACTGTGACTGGAATAGCAACAGCAAGCAGGACCATGGGCCGAATGGGACACAGGGGACCTGGCCACGTTAACCTGAGAACAGCGGGGCTCCATGAGCAGAGGAGGGACTGAGTTGGTTTTCCTGTGTGTGATGATCTCGATGCTCTGTGATGGGCCTGGACAGGAAGTAAAGCAAGACTGGCGAGGACAAGAGTGCTCAGTGGCTCAAGGAGAACTGGCGGGCCAGGGTGAGAGCCCCAGGGCTGGAGAGAAAGCGTGAACTTGGCGTGTGCCCCAGAGCCTGGGAGGTGCCAGGGGTTGGCTGCGAGAGCATGAAAGAAAGAAGAGTGGTGGCCAGGTCTGGAGCTCACCCTAGGGAGCTGACAGCGCGGAGTCGCGCGGAGACATTGCTGTGTGTGGTTCGCCCAGATGGAGACATGGGAGTTCTGCCCTGGTGGACCTCAAGAGGAAAGCTAGTTTTATAACCAAACTGCTGCTGTGGTTACGTGTGGCTGCAGAGCAGCTACCCCCATCCGAATGGCACATAGCCCCAGCAGGGCAGAGCTCCCGCTGGCTCTAGGAAGGCAGCGTTGTTTTTGCTTTATACACAATTTAGTGAGTCTGACAAATTTAAGCTCAGGTCTTCAATTTTTAAGTTGGTTTTGGGAAAATTATCATAGATTCTATTTTTCTGGGAGTGTATCATTTCACTGATGTTTGTGAAATACCCTTTCATAGGAAGAGTGAAAAGCCTACCTCTTTGGTTTTCCTCATCTCTCGTAATTGCACGGTGTCCTTTTCATGTTGTTTCAAGAGTTCCTAAAACATTTTTATTTGGACAAGGTCAGCACGGCGGTTCCAGATTTTCTTTCAGAGAATTAAAAAAATGAAAACAGAAGATCCACAAATATATTTACAAGAGCTTAGCCATTGATATTATAACACACTTATTATCAACAAATGATATATTCTGAAGTTAAATAATGAAAATCCCATGTTCAAACTTATTACAGTGACAAGTCAGAAAGAAACTATATTTTCATCAAAAGCTTTTCTTAAGCCGTGGCACAGATTCAATATTGTGAACAATTTCATTCTGCAAAGATTGATCTTTACTTTCAATGTGATCCTTGTTGGTCTGGGGAGACAGCATGGTGGTCTAAGCGCTTGCCTGGCAAAGGGTTTGATCCCTGATACTGCATGCTGTACCAGTCCGGGAACCGGGGGCCTGCTGTGGGAGCCACTGAAACCAGGCATGGTGGCGCAGGCCTGTAATCCCAGCACTGAGGAGGCTGAGACAGGAGGATCACTACAAGTCTGAGCTGTGTAGCGAGACCCTATGCCAAATAAATAAATAAAAGAGGGCCGGGGAGATGGCTCAGTAGAATAAGTGCTTCCCTGGCAAGCTCAAGGGCCTGAGTTCAATCCCCTGTTCCACCAAAATAAATAAATAAAT